TAAATAGTTTCTTGAAACAAATAAAAATGAAAACACAACTTACCAAAATCTCTGGGAAACATTCAAAATAATAAGTAGAGATCCAGTTATAACAATAAGCAAATAAATCAAAAGGGAAGAAAAAATAATAATTTATTCTTCAACTCAACCTCTCCAACAAGTTAAAAAAGAACAGTAAGAAAACCCCGACACCCTCTAAAAAATGAAATTATAAAAATTAGGGCAGAAATAAATAGAATAGTTAAAAACAATTGAAACCATTAACAAGAACAGGGGTTGGTTCTTTTGAAAAAGTCTATAAAATTAGCAAACCACTAGCAAAAATAATGAAAGAAAAGTTACAAATAACCCAAACAAGAAATGAAAGGGGTAACATCACCATAGAACTAAAATAAAAGGTTAACAATGGAATATAGTGGAAAAACTATACTCAAACAAACATGAAAAGCTAGCTGTTATGTATCATTGAATTGACTGTGACTCATAATGACCCTATGTACAACAGCCCTAAACCATACTAATTTCTCTGTCTTTGACACACCTATCCCCATTAACCCAGTCACTGAATCAATCCACCCCATAGAGGGTCTTGCTTTCCTGCGTTGTCCCTCCAGACTCCCAAGCAAGATGTCCTTCTCCAAAGACTGGTCCCTCTTTGCAACACGTCAAAAGTATGTCAGACGAAGCTTCAGAATCCTTGCCTCTAAGGGGCAGCCTGGTTTAAAGCTCTCTAGGATGAACCTGTTTGTTTTCTTAATAGTCCATGGTATGTTTAATACTCTTCTCCAACAACATAGCTCAAAGCCATCAGTTCTCTTTCTATCATCCCTAGTCTTTGTCCAGCTCTCTGATGCATAGCAAGTGATTAGAAAGACCATGACCTGTATCAGGCACACTTAGTCTCTAGAGTGACATAATTGCTCTTCAGTACTTTGGAGAGGTCTCTGACAGCAGACTTTTCCATTTCAATATGTCTTTTTATTTCCTGTCTGCTGGGGCCAAGAATGTTGACCATGGAGCCAAGGGAACTAAAGCTGTTCACAATCTCAACTTCTTCACCATCCATCATGATGCTGCCAATTGCTCAGTGGTGAGAATCTTTGTTTTCTTAATATTGAGCCTCAATCCATATTGAAGGCTGCAGTCCTTGACCTTCTGCAGCAAGCGCTTCAGGTCCTCCTCAGTTTCATCGAGCAAGGTTGTGTCATCTGCATAACACAGGCTGTTGAATATTCCACCAATCCTGATGCCACATTTCTCCTCATACAGCCCAGCCTCCTGGATAATCTGTCCTGCATATAGATTGTAAAAGTATGGAAATAGAACATATTCCTGGCATACACCCTTCCCAATTTTGAACCATGCCGTATTTCTTTGCTTTGTTCTGATGACTGTCTCCTGGTCTAAGTATAGGCTTCGCATTGCAATGATCAAGTATTCTGGGATTCCCATTTTATCAGAGTCGGCCACAGTTTGTTGTGATCCACACAAACGTTTTTGCATAATCAATGACACACAGGATATGCAAAAATATTTAGAAATTCACAACCTACCTAAATGGGCACAGACTGATACAGAACATCTGAACAGATCCATTACAAAAGAAGAAATTAAACAGGTCATAAAACAACTTCCAACAAAATAAAAGCTCTGGGCCACAAGATTTTACATGTGAATTTACCAAATATTCAGAAAAGAAATGTCACCAATTCTACATAAACTATTTCAGAACATCAAAAAAGATAGAATTCTCCCAGACTCATTCTTTGAATTCCTTGATTCTACAGTCAGTTAAAGATGTCACTAAAATAGAAAACTATAGGCCAATATCGTTCATGAACACAGATGCAATAAAGTCTAAGCCAATACAATACAACAGTACATCAAAAAAGAGAATTCACCATGACCGAGAGGGATTCATAATAGGCATGCAAGGATGGTTCATCATAAAAAAAAAAAAACAGTGTAATTCATCACATTAACAAAGCAAAGAAGAAGAACTACATGATCTATCATTGATGCAGAAAAGGCCTTTCACAAAAGCCAACACCCTTTCCTGATTAAAACACTCAACAAGATAGAAATAGATGGGAACTTCCTCAACATAGTAAAAAGTATATACACAGAACCAAGAGCCAACATCGTTCTCAATTGAGAGAGATTAAAGGCATTCCCTTTGAGAACAGGAACTAGGCAAGGATGCCCATTATCACCTCTCCCATTCAATATTGTATTGGCAGTCTTTGCTAGATCAGTAAGACAAAAGAAGAAAATTATGAGGTATCCAAATTGGCAAAGAGGTGGTAAAATCATCTGTATATGCAGATGATATGAAAGTATACTTAGAAAACCCTAAAGACTCAGCGAAAAAATGACAAGACATAGTGGACCAATTTGGCAAATTGGCAGAATACAAGATCAACATACAAAAATCAATGGGATTTCTTTACACTGACAAAGAGAAAACAGAGTTGGAGCTAAAGAAAACAATACCCATTACAATAGCTAAACACAAGCTTAAATACATACATTGGAGTAAATCTAGCTAGAAACACAAAAGACTTATTTAAAGAAAATTACAAAACATTACTACAAGAAACAAAGAGAGACCTAAAGAAATGGAAGAATATACCATGCTCATGCATAGGAAGACCTAATATGAAAATGACAGTTCTGTCAAAGGTATTCATTCTGTAAGTTCAGTGCAATCCCAATAAAATACCAATTCCATTCTTCAACAAGATTGAAAAGGCAATTTCCAATTTCATCTGTAAGGAAAGGGACCCCAAATAAGCAAAGCACTCGTGAAAAAGAGAAACAAGATAGGAAGCATCTCACTTCCTGATCTCAAATCCTACTACACAGCCGTGGTGGTCAAGACAGGGTAGTACTGGTACAATGACAGACACATAGATCAATTAAACAGAATTGAGAACCCAGAAACCAGCTCATCTAACTCTGGTCAAATGATTTTTGACAAAGAGATGAAATCCGTTAAGTGGGGAAGCAAAAGCCTCTTTATCAAATTATGTTGGCAAAATTGGAAAACTATCTGCAGAAAACTCAAGCCAAGACTCACACCTCACACCATACAAAAAAGCCAACTCAAAGTGGATCAAGGACCTAGGAGTAAAGTCAAGGACTATATAATTCATCAGAGAAAAGCTTGGAAGAACTCTACTATCCTAATCCACAATATAAACTCTTGCAAGCATCTTGAAAAAACCACAACAAAGAGAGAATAAAATAGATGAATAGCACTTTCTAAGAATCAAATCTCTATACACATCAAGAAATTTCGCCAACAGGATAAAAAAGAAAGCCACAGACTGAGAAAACAATATATGGTAATGACATATCTGATAGAAGATTTCTATCTAAAATTTATAGAATACTCCAGCACCTCAACAAGAAAAAGCTAAACAACCCAATATCAAAATGGGCTTAAGATATGAACAGGCACTTCTCCAAAGAAGACATTCAGATGTTAAAAAAGCACATTAATATTCAAAATCCCTAGCTCTCGGAAAGATGCCAGGCAAAACAACTATGAGATATCATCTCACCCAAAGAAGACATTCAGATGTCGATAAAACCCATTAATAGTCAAAATCCCTAGCTCTCAGAGAGATGCCAATCAAAACAACTATGAGATATCATCTCACCCCAGTAACAATACCAAAGTTCAACAGAGCAACAAACAACAAATGCTGGCAAGGTTGTGGAAAATTGCAATCCTTATTTACCACTAGTGGGAGTGTAAAATAGTGCAACCACTATGGAAGGCAGTATGATGTTTCTCAAGAAGTTGGAAGTAGAAAAGCATTTGACCAAGCAATTCCACTACTAGGAATATACCCAAAAGAAAGCAGAGCTTCCACCCAAACAGATAAATGCACATCCATGTTTATTGCTTTGTTATTAACAATAGCAAAGAGAGGGAACCAATCCAAGTGACTATCAACAAATGAATGGATTGAAAAACTATGGTATATTCACACAATGGAATACTATGAAGCACTGAAAGACAAGGAACTCATAAAATATTATAAAACATGGATGATCCTGGAGGACATTACGATGAGTAAAATATCTCAGCCACAAAAGGACAGATACTGAATAATGCCACTGTTATTAAACAGGATTGACATAGGGGTTGGGGGAAACAAAAAAAAGAGGGGATAAATAATGAACACTGCATTGGAACAGATGAAGGAAAGAATTACTTAAAAGGAATATGTGATTAGGCATTATTTGTATGACAACAGTGCAGAATAAGAGGTGCATAGCAAAGTGAACTGGGGGAGATGAGGGAATAAATTATGCAATAAGGATTTAACTTTTTTTTTAAAAGCATACTTGAGAGGAGGGAGGAAAATGTGAAACAATGGATGAATGAAAATAGACGTTTTCTGTAAATTTTCATTTAAATCACAAGTGAAAAAATTATTAATGAAAAATAAACAAAAATCACAGGTTGGAGTCAATGAGCCAGAGTACTTAAGCTTCTAGGTGAAAGAAACAAAAAGTTTATAAAAACCACTTGAATATTATACCCACTGCCATCACGTTAGTTCTTCCTCATAGCAAACCTATGAGAATTAGGAGAACTGCCTAGGGGGTTTTGAAGGCTGTAAATCTTTAGAGAAGGAGTCTGCCTCATCTGTCTCTTGCAGAGTGGGTGTCAATTATCACACTTTTGTTTAGCAACCTAGTGCTTTTACTGATAGCCCCATCAAGGTTCTTCTTACAATATACACTAGAGCATAAATTGTAATTTATTAACATAATAATGCAGGTATCAAAAAGGCATTTTTTACTTTTTATATTATGAACTTCAGATTTGTTTTAAGATACTTTTTTTCTTAACTAGGTTATACTGTTTATTTTTTTAAATAAATGTTAAAGGGCCTAAATTTGGTAATTGTAATTTGCTAGGCTGAAGCACAGTTTCAGAAACTCAGTTAAAACCTTAATTTTGCTTTATAAATAAAAATTACCTGATAATGTAAGTTAAATAGTACATCTGAAGTACAAGAAAAGGATATGAAAAACTTTCCCGGAGAGGTGGTGTCCACATCACACGGGTAGCCTGAAATTATTAAAATACTTAATTCATTGTATGTTCCATTATAATAAACATTATAATTGGTTATAAAAACCATTGGTAATCAGTTTTACTAGTTTTCCTACTAGGCTTATAAGATTCAAGTTCTTAATTCCCGGGCATAGTTTCTCTACTTGGGAGGCTTTCTTAAAGACAGGCACATACTATTTAAGCAGAGAGTCATGATCAGCTATTAACTAGTAAGTACAAAAAAACCCCCTAAATATATTTCAGACAAAGGATAAGTAAGTATGTCCGCGGACAAACAAAATGGTAGGTAGGTATAACGTCTATAAGGTTTTGAAGACTGAAAGACCAGGATCTACAATTCTTAGGTTTAGCACTACAGCTCTATTTGGGGCAATGTAGGGCTTGAGGACATACACAAATGGACATTTACAAACAGCAAGAAATTTTATGTATAATAACTTCAAATAAGTGTTTTTATTGTTGTGTGCCATTGAGCTGGAACCAATTATAGCTGACCCTCCAATGGGTATACAGAGGCTGTAAACTGCACGGAAGGAGACTGCCCAACTTTCTCCCCAGGATCAGCTGGTGGATAGGCAGAGCAACTCCTTAAACAACCAGGCCTCTAAAACTTCTTTCACATAAGCAGAATTGTAAACTGTAAGTGCTTGCAATTTCTCTGTATTTATGAAAATATGTCTTTAAGAGTCAACTGTAGATTAACAAAAATAAGCACCCCATAAAACTAATTACCATTTTTATAACCCAGAGGTTATAAAATTACTTAAGAAAATGATAAATGTTCTAAAACTATCAACCAAATTTCAACATAAACCTTAAAACTAATTTCTTTCTAAGAAACAGTTGAAAAGTTTATAAACATTTTATATTAAAAACTCCTAAATTCTAGAAAGAAACAACTCTTATTTTCCAAGTATATTAAAGGCTAGATTTCTCTTCTGAGAAACCAAAATTGTAAGCATTGGAGAATTAAATAAGGCATGTACAAAAAAATTCATAATGGCAATGACCTATCACACTCAAAAGACCTTAATTTTAACTTGGTAAATGATTGTGTGTAGGTTTAAGTTAAAATCTTTAAGACACTTTCTATATTATTTTTTATGGAAGTCTTCTCAAATTTTAAAAATTCACCAAGTACTTATTTTCCCCAATAGTAATAAACTAAAAAGAGTATTTTAACCTGTGTTGAATCTTTTCTTACGTATTTTGTTTCTAAAAGGTAGCAGTCCAATTTGAATAAATGCTATGTCCTCATTGTTCGTATAAAAAATTTAAACCAGTATAAAATAATTCTTTTTTTAAGCAAAGATGATATAAGTAATATTTGTAAGTAATATAAATTCCAGTTATTATGCAAAACTTTAGGTCAGTATGATTAAAATATTAACCTTTAACAGAAAGCTTTTAAAAATAGTATAAAACTATAAGTAATATTAATTATACATACAAATTACACATATACTGTTTTCGTGAATATATTTACTTGTTCCTCTACAACTCCTCTCAATTCTTAAAAATTACTTTCTAGGAAACAAACCTCTCCATGGTTGAAAAAGTAGCACAGTACTGTGATTAGACCTCCTATTTGAGTTCCACTGTGGGGGGAAAAAGGGCACAACCTTAATGCACAAAAAATGGAGTTTATTCACAAAATTATCTTAAAAATTAAAATCCGTTTTCTATATTCAAAATGGTATAGTACTAAAGCATATGAAACCTTAATAAGCTTTTCAAATACATTCTTGCAGTGAATGCTTCAAGTTTGAATGTGCAAGCATACAAAATACATCTATAATCTTCCTTTTGTATCATTTAATATTTTCTATTATAATTCATTATGTGTAAGGCATCTTCTAAAGTGAATATAAAATCATTTTTAACAAACATGTCAGCACTTAAAGAGTCTATACTTTGAATATTTTTTGTCTTTTGATAGTAGGCACATCTGAAAGATGAAGAGTATAAATTTATTTAGCAGAAAGTTGAAAAAGTCTAAACTACTGATAAAATTCTATTTTTTTCCTTAAGTCCTAAAGATAAAGTGTTACTAAGGATAGCTGATAATGAAGAAATCATTTGTTAAAATTGTCTTTCCTTTTGTGAACACAGATGTTCAGACATTGAGGGTTTTTTTTTAAAAATTATTTTTGTTTGGTAATTTGAGAGACAGTTTACAAAAGAACATTCAATCACTTATGCACATTTTGGTTTATAACATTAATTACAATCAATACGCATAATGTCATGAAACCCTTTCATTTCTACCCCAAATTCTCATTTCTATCGATCTTTCTGTCCTACCCGTTCTTGCTTTCTGGGCTTGGACAACTATTTCTCTTTTGATATTATGCGATTGGTTATTCTAAGAAATGAAGGCTGCTCTCCTGTCCATCTTCTGGTCCTGTCTAATTTAGCTGAAAGTTGAGCCACAGAGGTGAATTTTGTTCAGGTTCAAAAAATGACTAAGGGCCATTGTTTCAGAGGTTCCACTAGTCTCTATCAGAACAGTAAGCCTGACCTTTTTATGTTTTTGAGTTTTGTTCATATTCTCCCATCTCCCCATGCAGGATCTTCTACTTTGATCACTATTAGAATAGTCAGTGGTAGTAGCCGGGCACCATCTATGTCTTCTGGTCTCAGGATCCTGGAAGCAGAGGTTCACATGGTCCATAAGGCCTTTGGACTAATTGTTTCTATACATTTTTCTTTTCTTCTCTCTTCTTTATTAAGGACAATGAGAGACCAATAGTTGCTTAGACCTTAGATGGCTGATGGCAAACTTTTAAGACCCCAGTTGTTATTCATAGAGTAGGATGTAAAACACTGTCTTTGAAGACTAAGTTTTGCCAATTGACCTTTGTGTCCCACACAAAGCCTAAATCCTGAAGCCTTAAGACCAGTAACTCATTTCCTTAGGGTGTTAGATAATGATTAAGAAGTCTATATAGCTTTGTACTCTGTTGACTCTACTATAAACATATTTACAGCAAAAAGTAAGATGAATGAAGAAATATCTGCCAAACCTATGAATGGTAATGGATGTTGTCCTATTCATCCTTCCATATCTGTTTGTCTTGCCTTTCTACCTATATATTTGCTTATAAATTAATATTTATCACGGTTGTTATAAGGGAGCTCTGTGGCATAGAGGTTGTTCTGCCAACCTGAAAGCATGTGGTTCAAATCCACCAATGGCCCCATAGGAGAAAGATGGCAATTTCTTTCCTTCTAAAGATAGGCAATTTTCAATTTTTGAAACCCCACTGGAGGGTCATCTAAGAGTTTGTTTCTGACTTAAAGGCACATAACAACATTATTGACGTTGCAGGATTATGTATGAAATGTTATTCCCTTGTAGTTGACTATATTTCCTGAGTACTTTTTTCCTGAATACTCTGTATCTTCCCCATTCTGTAGTGGTACCATGCTGACAATTTCCTCTACTGTGTAATACCTTTCCCTTCCCTTATTTTTTATAAAGCAAACTGTTTTTACAAACACATTTTGTTTCATAATTTTAATAAGAACATCCACAATGTAATCATACCCTTTACACCTCCTCTTTTAAATTATTTATATTCATTTTCCTAAATCCATCCCTTGATGCCTTCTGAAATTTATCCTTGGAAAATGTTGATGTCTTGACCTGATATGTACCAGGACCAGCAACAGATTCTTTCTCAATATGTCTGGTTAGAACTAAAAAACTTACAAAGTATTCTACCCTCTTGGCTCTACCGTTTGTATACATGGACATATTTACAGCCTATACTAGCATGAACATAGAAAATCTACATATGAGTACCGTCCTTTTCACATGTGCATGTCTTCCCCTCTTACCTGTCTACCTGTATCTGTTTCTCTGTGTGTATACACATGCTTTTAGCTCTATTTCTTAGCTATACCTATGTCTTTCATTAGTAATATTGTGTTTTTCACCTTCTTATTGCATACAGTCTTCTCCTTCACCCACATCCTCAGTAGTCATAAGAAGATAATTCTGTGTATAAACCTTCTTTAGCTTTTTAGAGTAGTGACTTTATACAACATTTGTCCTTTTAGGACTACTTTACTAAACTTTAATGTTATCTAGAGTCATTAGTTTTCTATAGTGTTTCACAAATTACTGCTCTTTTATGTTGCATAGTATTCCATTGTGTGAATCTATCAAAATTTCTTTAATTATCCATTGACAGGCACTTAGTTTTTTCTACCCCTTTGCTACTGTAAATAATGCTTCAGTGAACATGTTGCTGTTGTTAGATTCCTTCATGTTAACTATGACTACCAGGCACGCTATGAACAACAGATCTGCACCTTGCCTGTCTGGCATCAACCTCGGGCTCTCTGACATGTTCAACCTCATTGTTATAGCCACTGTGCTAACTCCATCTTATTGAACGTTGTCTTTCTCTGACCAGCACAGCATGCTGGGTTTTTTCCTAAGTACTTGTCAATTTTCAATCTGTATGCAGAACAGATCAACTGAGACACTGGGCTGTATGTATGAGGAGGAATGTGGCATCAGGATTGGTGGAAGAATCATCAACAACCTGTGTTATGCGGATGACACAACCATCCCTGCTCGCTGAAACTGAGGAGGACCTGCAGCGCTTGCTGCAGAAGGTCAAGGACTGCAGTCTTCAATATGGATTGAAGCTCAGTATCAAGAAAATAAAGATTCTTACCACTGGGCCAATTGGCAGCATCAGTATGGATGGTGAAGACATTGAGATAGTTAACAGTTTTCGTTTACTTGGTTCCACAGTCAACACTATTGGTAACAGCAGCCAGGAAATCAGGAGACGAATTGCATTGGGAAAGTCAGCTGTGAGGGACCTCTCAAGAGTACTGAGGAGCAATGGCATCAGGCTGGAGACTAAGGTGCGCCTGATCCAGGCTATAGTTTTTGCAATTACGTGCTATGCAACGGAGAGTTGGACAGTGAATAGGGATGACAGAAAGATAATTGATGCCTTTCAGTTGTGGTGCTGGAGAAGAGTGTTGAATATACCATGGACTGCTAGGAGAACAGGTTTGTCCTGGAGAGGATGAAGTCGGAATGCTCCTTGGAGTCAAGGATTCCAAAGCTTTATCTGACATACTTTGGGTATGTTGCAAGGAGGGACAGGTCCTTGGAGAGGGACATCATGTTTGGGAGAGTGGAGGAACAGTGCAGGAGAGGAAGACCCTCGATGAGATGGAGCAATTCTGTGAGTGGAGTGGTGGGAATGAATGTGTTTGAGACAGCGACGTTGGCACAGGATAGAATGGCGTTTAGGCCTCTTGTACATAAGGTCGCTATGAGTCGCATACGACTCGATGGCACATAACAACAACAACAGCAACTTGTCCCTTCTGGCAACATGCCCAAAGTATATATGAGATGGTATTTTACCATCCTTTCCTTCAAGGAGCACCTTGGTTAGTCTAAACATAGACCAAGACGAGACTGTCCAAACAAAACAAGAGACCACTGCATAATTTAAATTCAGAAAAGGTGTGTGTTAGGGTTATACCTTTTCAACATATCTATTCCATCTGTATGCTAAGCAAGTCATTTGACAAACTGGACTATACAAAAAAGAAGTGGCATTTGGATAAGAGAAAGACTCATCAACCATACATATGATATAACTTTGCTTAAAAGAAGCTGACAAAGACTTGAAGCACTTATTAAAGAAGATAAAAGACTACAGTATGGGTTACACCTTAACATCAAGATAACTAAAGTCCTCACCACTGGGCCAACAGGGAACATCAAGATAGATGGAGAAAATAATTGAAATTGTCAATTATTTCATTTTACTTAGATCCACAACTAACAGCCATGATAGCAGTTGTTGATGTTATGTGCCGTCGAGTCGCCTGCGACTCATAGCAGCCCTAGTATGATAGCAGTAGTTAGGAAATAAAAAAAAAAGTGTTTCACTGGGGGAATTCTACTGTCAAGGACTTCTCCAAAATACTCAAGACCAAGGATGGCAGTCTAAAGACGAAACTGATCTGATGATATTTACAATTGTTTCCTATGCACCTGTCGGACAATGCATAAGAATGACAGAAAAATAGATGTCTTTGAATGTTGTGTTGGAGAAAAGCATTGAATATATCATTAATTGCAAAAAGACAAACAAATTTGTCTTTGAGGAAGTGCAAGCTGAGTGCACCTTGGAGGCAACAATGGTGAAATTTTATCTCAGTTACTTTGGGTATATTTTCAGAAAGAACCAGTTCTTAAAGAGAGATATGCTGGGAAATGTCAAGGGTCAGTGAAGGAGAGGAAGACCTTCAAGGAGATTAACTGACATTGTGAATTCCACATGAGCTTGAGCAGAACAGAGAGCATGAGGATGGAGGAGGACAGGGAAAGGCTCCGATCCATTGTTCACAGGGTGTCAACATGACTACAAGAGCTGTAGTCAACTTGATGGCACCTTACAAAAACAATAAAAGTTCTCTCCTAAGTTTCCAAATAGAGTAAAACTATTTTCTTTTAAAATTCTCTTATGATATCATAGTGTTGTTATTATGTCCTGTAGAGCCAACTCTGACTCAGAGCAACAAGAGAACAAACCTGAATTATGTGCCACCATCACTCTCTCTGCTGTGCTTAAGCGATCCCCACACAGTGTCAGTTAATCACATGGAAGTCTTCCCCTCTTTAATCAACCCACCACTTTCCCTGATACCATGCCCAATGAATGTGAGTCAAAGTCTTTGCGTCTAAGACGCATCCTTGTTGAACTTCTTCCAAGGTCGAAGAATAAAAGATAATGCCCAAAATATTATTTTAGTGACATCTGTAGTTTCAGGGTACATGAGATAGGCTAAGTTTCTAAAAAATAAGATCCAGAAACTCTCCTACTGTAACTATTTTGCTTAACTATTTTTTCATTTATTATACAAATATAAGTCAGTCCTTATAAACTGACTAAAATATCTTCTAATACAATAGTCTTACCTCAAGTATGTACCATATATGAAGAACAGTCCCATCATTATTCCATTTAAAATAAAAATCACACCAACATAAAAGCAAGCAGGGTCTCCCAATCCTTTGAAAAGACATAGATTATCAATATTTAGTGGATTAATGACTACAGATTGCACTTACCCTAGTACATCATGATCAGGATCACAGAAATTTCTTGACACCATTTGCTTATCAGTTGCTTCTCTTTAATAGTTATTTTTATACTTTCCTTTTACATGATGTATTATTATACTGTAATGAAATGTAAATGCTTTACATTTAATTAGATGTGGCCACTATTGTTCAGTATCTACAACTTTCTGTAGAGACATTTTATTAATTCAAGAGAAAAATATGATTTGACCTCTTATCTCAACAAGCAGCCTAGTATATGAGATAACAAGTTATTTGACCCATTAGTACCATGTATAGTTGGACCATTAAGTGTGTGTGTGTGTGTGTGTGTGTGTGTTTAGGAAGGTGGCAGTTACTTGGTGTTATAAATTATTATTTCACATATCTCTCAACATAAATTAATGAGATCAGTATGGTTGAAAACTGAACCTAGGGAGCTTAAATACCTTGCCTGTTATATATTTATTATTATTTAGCTCTAACAAGTGGAGCCAAAAGCTGAAGGCTAGCCTTTCTGATGCTTCCACGAAAGATCACTCCTTCTCAGTGGCTTCTAGCATCTTCTCTTTTTTTATAGACCTTTTCATTGTTGGATCACTTTAGGCTCTGTTATAACCTTGTCCTTTCTCATCACTAATATTTTTCTTGAGGAAATTATTTCACTCCATGCCTCCAAAAATCATCTATATACAGATGCCCCTAAATCTTTATTCAGCTCTTTCTTCTTTTCTCTATACCATCTCACAGCTTCACTTCTAGATTTCATAGGTACCTCAAACAAATACATCCAAAATGAAAGATAGCAATTTGAACCCAATCCTTCCTAAATTTTTCCAGCCACTCAAAAGTACCAAATTACTTAAGGCAGAAAGCAAGCAATGTTACATGATGTTTTGTTGGTGTTGTTATGTGCCATCAAGTCTCTTGCAACTCATAGTAACCTTATGCACAACAGCTCTGAACTCTGCAGGATCTTGAGCCAACCTCATTGTCTCTGACAAACCTTCCGCTTTATCCCAGTCACTGAGTCTATCCATCTCATCTAGGGTCGTCCATTCTTGTGCTGCCTCTCCACCCTTTCAAGTGTGGTCTCCCTTTCCAAGAACTGGTCCCTCCTGCAATATGCCCAAAAT